TCAATTTTTTAATTGGGTTCTTTGTCTTTCTTTTGTTGAATTGCATGAGCACTCTATATATTTTGGAAATTAACCCCTTATCTGATGTATTGTTGGCAATTATGCTCTCCCATAGAGTGTGTTGCCTTTTCATTTTGGTGGTTGGTTTATTTTTTTGCTGTGCAGAAGCTTTTGAGTTTGATGTAGTCCCATGTGTTCATTTTCTCCTTTATTTCTGTTGCCTTAGGTAATGTATCAGTGAAAATTATGCTCTGTTTGATGTCTGAAATTTTGTTGCCTACACTTTCTTCTGGGATTTTTTTGGATTCATAAGTCACATTTAAGTCTTTTATTCATTTTGAGTTTATTCTTATGTGTGGTGTAAGTTGATGGTCTAGTTTCATTTTTTTCCATGTAGCTGTCCAATTTTCCCAACACCATGTATTAAAGAGGCCGTCTTTACTCCACTGTATGTTCTTGCCACCACTGTCAAATATTAATTGAGCATATTGCGTTGGGTGCATTTCTGGGTTCTCTGTTCTGTTCCATTGGTCTATCTGCCTATTCTTATGCCAGTACCAGGCTGTTTTGATTACAGTGGCTTTGTAGTATAACCTGAAATCGGGTAATGTGATCCCTCCAACTTTTTTTTTTTTTTTTTTTCAAGATTGCTGTGGCTATTCGAGGTCTGTTTTGGTTCCTCTGAACTTTTGAAGTATTTGTTTTAGTTCTGTGAAGTATGTCATTGGTATTTTGATGGGGATTGCATTGAATCTATAAATTACTTTGGGTAGTATGGACATTTTTTTTTTTATTTTGATTGTTGAATGTATTACAGATGTTTCTCATTTTTTCCCCATTGACCCCCTTTTCCCCACTCCCGCCCCCCTCCTGCTTTTTCTCACACTCTTGTCTGTGTCCATTGGTTATGCCAATATGCATATAAGTTGTTTGGGTAATTTCTTCCCAACCCCGAAACCCTCCTTCTCTTTGAGGTTTGTCAGTCTAGCAAATAATTTGTTTTTTTTTAATCCCTTCCCCTTTTTTTACCCATTCCTCCAACCCCCCTTCCATCTGGCAACCAACGAAATGTTCTCTGTATCTATGAGAATGTTTCTGTTCTGCCTGTTCATTTTGTTTGTAGATTCAATTGTTGGTAGATATTGCCATTTTGATTGTTCATATATTTTATCTTTTTCTTCAAAATGACCCTTCAACATTTCATATAATAACGGTTTGGAGGTGACAAACTCCTTTAACATTTTCTTGTCTGGGAAACTATATGGCCATCGATTCTAAATGATAGCTTTGCAGGATAGAATAATCTTGGTTGTAGGTTCTTGCTTTTCATCACTGTGAATATTTCTTGCCACTCTCTTCTGGCCTGCAAAGTTTCTTTTGAGAAATCAACTGACAGTCTAATGGGAACTCCCCTGTAGGTAACTAACTGCTTTTCTCTTGCTGCTTTTAAGATTCTCTCTTTGTCTTGAATTTTTGCATTTTGATGATGATGTGTCTTGGTGTGGGCCTCTTGGGGTTCATCTTGTTTGGGACTCTCTGTGCTTTCTGGACTTGTATGTCTGTTTCCTTCACCAAGTTAGGGAAGTTTTCTGACATTATTGTTTCAAATAGTTTTTCCGTTTTTTGTTCTCTCTCTCTTCCCCTCCTGGCACCCCCAAGATACGAATGTTGGCACACTTGAAGTTGTCCCAGAGGCTACTTTCACTATTCTAATTTTTTTGGATTTTTTTTTTTTTTTTTTTTTTTTGCTGTTTTGATTGGGTGTTTTTTTTGGCTTCCTTATATTCCAAATCAATGGTTTGCTTCTTGGCTTTACCTACTCTATTATTAAATCTGTGTAAATGATTCTTTATTTCAATTAGTGCCTCCTTCATTTCTGACTGGTCTTTTTTTATGCTCTTGAGGCCCTCACTAAGTTTGCTGAGGTTCTCACTAAGTTTATTGAGCATCTTTATAAGTAGTATTTTGAACTCAGCATCTGTTAGGTTGCTTATCTCCATTTCTCTTAGTTCTTTTCCTGGAGATTTTTTTCTGTTCTTTCATTTGGAACCTGTTTCTTTGTCTCCTCATTTTGGCTGCCTCCCTGTGTTTGTTTCTACGTATTACTTAATCGGAGGTATGGGCCTAGCTGAGACCACATGTTGCTCATTTGAAAGAATTTAGAAAAACTTGAAGTAGGATTCAAGACAGGCCAGTCCTATGATTAAGCAACTGGCAACAGCTTCGGTGGGCCTAAATGTTGGGTGAGGCAGGGCCGCAGGGAATCACCAGGGTGGGGTAACCAGTGTGAGCCAGGTTGCTGGAGTCCCAGATATGGCAGCTGTCTGCCATCCCAGGGAAGGGCTCACCAAAGGAACAAAGGCCTTTGACAGCACATTTGTCCTGGAGAAAACCCCCGCTTTAGCTCTCACTCCAATTCCAAACAGCTTAGTTCTTTCCTGTATGTCTCTGACACCCCTCAAGCTGCTTTCCCTCCAAGCTCAAAGGGAGTGATTGTAATAAATTCATGCGTGGGCCCTTGAATTTCTTGCCCTCTCTTTTCTCCTTTTGGCACTCCCATGATGTGAATGTTGGTACGCTTGAAGTTGGCCCACAGGCTCCTAATACTATTCTCATTTTTTGTATTATTATTATTATTTTTTTTGCTGTTCTTATTGGGTGGTTTTTGCTTCTTTATATTCCTAACTGATGGTTTGCTTCTTGGCTTCACCTGCTCTATTATTGATGCCTTGTAAATTATTCTTTATTTCAGTTAATGCATCCTTCATTTCCAACTGGTTCTTTATTACGCTCTTGAGGTCTTCACTAAGTTCACTGAGTGTCCTTATAAGCAGTGTTTTGAACTCTGCATCTGTGGGATTGCTTATCTCCATTTTATTTAGTTCTTTTCCTGGAGTTTTGTTCTGTTCTTTCATTGGGGATATGTTTCTTTGTCTCCTCATGTTGGCTGCCTCCCTGTGTTTGTTTCTATGTATTAGGTAAAGTTGTTATGTCTCCTCAGCTTCCTAGGGTGGTCTATTATAGTAGGTGTCCCGTAGGGTCCATTGGAACAACTTTTTTGGTCTCCCAGCTGGGCCCTCCAGGTGCATCCCTCATGTGGACTTTATACCGTTCTATTGTAATTGAGTCTTGATTACTGTTGGCACATCAATGAGAGGGTTTTATTCAGTGCTGATCAGCTACAAGGACTGGCTATCCCCACTATCCACTGACCTCTGAGTACCTTGGATGATCAGTTGTGCATGGGCCCACTACACAGAGCAAGACTTACTTCAGCAAGGCTCTGCTACCTACTGAGTTCATTCCTTGAGAGCGTCACTTGTGAAGGTGTTTGGGTGGTGGTGTTTTGATGTGGTCTGAAGTTGTCCACTGGGTGTGCTGGCTCTGGGGCAAGGTCAGCCATTGCCTGTGTTTTACCCAGGGCCACCAGGCATAAACTACAAAGCGATCTGTAGATGGCTGCTTCTTGTGCTGGTTTAAAGGTGCCTAGGTAAAGCCAAGCTATGAAACAAGACTGGCTGCTGCTAGTGCTGGGCCTGGGGATACTTAGCAAGAGGCATGGAGCTTGCTGTCTCCAGATGCTGCTTGTTTGAGAGCATTTAGGAAAATCTGAAGCAGGAGCCAAAACAGGCCAATCTTATGATAAAGCCCCTGGAAACAGCTTGGGTGGGCCTGAAAGTTGGGTGGGGCATGGTCTCATGGAATCACCAAAGTGGGGCAAACAGTTTGAGTCAGGTTGCTGTAGTCTCAGATATGGTGGCCCTCTCCTGCCCCAGGGAAGGGGTCACCAAAGGAACAATGGTCTCCACCAGTATATCTGTCCAAGAGAAAGCTGCCTCTCCAGTCACCCAGATGCCAAACAACTCAGTTCTTCTCCTATGTCTCTGGTGCCTTTCAAGCTGCCTCCCCCACACTGGAGCCTGGAGGATGCGAGTCTAAGTTTGTGTGTGGGCCCTTTAAGAGGTACTACCTGGGGCTCCAGCAGCCTCAGCCTCAGTTCCCGCTAGGTTTTACTAGCCAGAAGTTATGGGAACTTCTCTTCCTGGCACTGGAACCCTGCGCTGGGCGCTTGGTGTGGGACTGGGACTCCTTGCTTCTCAAGGTGTTGTAGACCAATGAGACAGACCAGACTCAGACTCTGAACTGGGATCAAATTAAGAGAGCTTTATTAGCCATGTGGCAACTGTCCCATCCTACTCAGAGGAGAGAGCAACCCAGAGCTCAGGGGGTGGGTTGCTTATATAGTTGTCTTAGCCCCTGTTAAAGAATTTGGGTTAAGGGTATGTGAGCAAGCAAGCACATACAGAAGCAGTTATTCGCAGTTAGCTGTTATGCCTGAGGGAACAATCAGTTTCTGTGTACACAAAGCAATGGTTATCTATACAATGCAGTGGTTATCTATTAGCAGATAGTTCTTGCCATTCCCTTAAAGTCCAGGAGGCAAGGTCATGTGTTTGTCTTTTACAAAGGAGGACTTTCACAGCCAAAGTATCCTGATTTTTATCCACTACACATGGGTGTGAGAGCAGCCTGTCCATGACTCCACCCCTCCTACCAGTCTCAATGTGCTTTCTTCTTTAATTTTGTAGTTGTAGGACTGCCATTCAGCTTGATTTCAGGTGGTTCTTAAGGATGGTTGTTCTGTAGTTTAGTTGTAATTTTGACGTGATTGTGGGAGGAAGTGATACTGTGTTTACCTATGCCGCCATCTTGATTGGAAGTCTTACACCAGCTTTAATATTAAATATTTTTTCATACCACATGATCCTGAAGTAGCATTTGAGATAATTGTTTTTTACTATACACATAAACAGTATTATTAATTATTGTAGAGAAGACAATATTATAAAAATTGGTTTCTGACAACTTTTAAGGGGATGGAGAAGAGGAGTGGAGGAGATATCAGGCTTGGGTTATTTTAGCCACTTAAGTTTTTTAAAAGTGCTGTTTTTGTCCCCTTCACATTGAGGTGGGGCAGTCACCCCTGTTGCACCCACAGTCTACACAGGGCTTGGGATGGCATTAATTCCCCCATTGTTCCAGAACTGCAGCAGCTCCTGGACCTTCCAGAGATTTTAGAGTGTTTAAAAGATATATCTCCTCATTTTTTCTACTTCCTGAGTTTTATTGTCTGGGAGGGGAGTGAGCTCTTTCCCCCTCTTTGAAACATCAATTTAGATTTTTTTCTGAGTAGAATCCTTATAATAAAACAACATGAAGGCTTACACATAAGAGATCTTATCACTATTCAGAACCAAAACAAAAACAACATCTTAAGTAAACACAGTATTCTCAAACTAAATTTTCTAAAAGGAGGGACTTGGGCAGTAGCCTTAGAATCTTATCTTACACCAACTGGTACAGAGAATGACCTTTACAAGGTCTAAATGGCACAAAGCCCAAGTGGAAAAGACAAAGGAGTCCCTGTGTATATAAAATAGCAAAGAGCAAATCAAGTTCCCAAAAGATAAAAAAGCAAGGAAAGAACAAGTGTAAGCAAAGTTTCATTTCAGACAGATGAGAACTCTCAGAGATTTTTCAAACAAAACAAACAGATGAAAGCTCTCAAATTGAAACTGATATTCCTTTGGTGAGCCCTTCCCTAGGGTGGCAGAGGGCTACCATATCTGGGACTCCAGCAACCTGGCTCACACCTTGCCCCATCTTGGTGATTCCCTGAGACCCCACCCAACCCAACTTTTGGGCCCACCCAAGGTGCATCTACAGGCTTTACCATAGGATTGGCCTGTCTTGGATTCTGCTTTGGAGTGTCCTAAAATCTCTCAGACAAGAAGCATCTGATCTCAGTGAGCCCCATACTTCTTCTTAAGTGGCCTCAGGCTTGGCACTAGAAGCAACCAGCCTTGGTTCACAACTTGGCTTTACTTGGGCACCTCCAAGCCCAGCACAAAAAGCAGCCATGTGCAGATTACCCTGTAGCTTATGCCGGTGGCCCCAGGTAGAACATAGGCAGTGGCAGACCTTGCCCCAGAGCCAGCACACCCAGTGGACAACTTTAGACCATATTGAAACACCACCACCCAACAACCTCCACAAGTGAACTTAATGAGTGGACTCAGTAAGTACCAGAGTCCTGATGATGTAAGTCTTGTTCTGTGTGGTGGGACCCTACTCATCTGGTCCTCCAAGGTAGTTAGAAGCCAGTAGTCAGTGGGTATAGTCAGTCCTTGCAGTTGATCAGCCTGAGTAAATTTCTCTCATTGGTAGGTCAACAGCAATCAAGACTCAATTACAACAGAAGGGTGTACAGTCCACACTAAAGGTGCACCTCAAGGGCTCAGTTTGGGGATCAAGGAGGCTGTGCCACTGGATCCTACAGGACATCTACAATAATAGGCCACCTTATGAAGCCTAGGAGACACAGCAGCTCTACTAAATACATAAAAACAATCACAGGGAAGCAGCCAAAATGGAGAGACAAAAAAACATGTCTTGAATAAAAGAAAAGAACATAACTTCAGGAAAAGAATGAAACAAAATGGAGGTAAGCAATTAGTCAGATGCAGAGTTCAAAACACTGGTTTTAAGGTTGCTCAAGGAAATTCAAAAAACTTAGTGAGAACATCCACAACATAAGAAAGAACCAGTAAGAAATGAAGGATGCACTAATTAAAATAAAGAATAATTTACAGGGACTCATCGATTTGGAATATGAAGAAGCAAAAAATACACCCAATCAGAACAGAAAAAAGAAAAAAGAATCCAAACAAGTGAGGATTATATAAGGAGCCTCTGGGACAACTTTAAGCATGCCAATGTTCACATCATAGGGGTACCAGAAGGAGGAGAGAGAAGAATAAATTGAAAACCTATTTATAAAAATAATGACAGAAAACTTCCCTAACTTGGTGAAGGAAATAGACAGATAAGTCAGGTAGCATAGAGTCCCAAACAAGGTGAACCCAAAGAAGTCCATACCAAGACACACTATAACCATCAAAATGCTGAAGTTAAAATACAAAAAGAAACTCTTTTTTTTAAGATTTTTAAAAAATTTAATTAATTAGTTTATTATTGCTACAGATGTTTCTCTTTTTTTTCTCACTGATTCTCCCCTCCCTCACCCTCTCCCTCCACACCCTGTCCCCAGCTTTGTTGTCCATGTCCATCATTCACGCACACATGCATATAAATTCAGTGGTTTTTCTCTCCCCCACCACCTCCTCTTCTGGGGATTGTCAGTCTGTACCCCACTTCCACATCTCTGGGACTACCCTATTCCTCAGACTGTTATGTTCATTATATTCCACAAATAAGTGATATCATATAATACTTGTATTTCTCTATTTGGCTTGTTTCACTTAGGATAATACTTTCCAGGTCCCTCCATGTCCTCTCAAAGGATTAGAGATCTTTCTTTCTTATAGCTGCATAGTACTTCATTGTGTATATGTACCACTGCTTTTTTATCCATTCATCTGCTGATGAACATTTGGGCTGTTTCCAGATCTTAGCAATTATAAATAGTGCTGCTACAAACATGGGGGTGCATATATTCTTTCTGATTAATGTTTCAGGCTTCTTAGGGTATATTTCTAGAAGTGAGATCACCAGGTCAAAGGGAAGTTCAATTTTTAATTTTTTGAGGTAACACCATATTGTTTTCCATAGTGGCTGCAGCAGTCTGCATTCCCACCAGCAGTGTACTAGAGTCCCCTTTTCTCCACACCCTTGCCAACACTTGTTTGATGATTTGTTGATGGCAGCCATTCTGACAGGAGTGAGGTGATAACTCATTGTTGTTTTAATTTGCATCTCTCTGATGATTAGTGATGTTGAGCATTTTTTCATATGTCTCTTAGCCATTTGTATATTCTGTTTTGAGAGATGTATATTTAGTTCCTCTGCCCATTTCTTAATTGGGTTCTTTGTCTTCCTTTTGTTGAACTGCATGAGCACTCTCTATATATTGGAAATTAAACCCTTATCTGATATATCATTGGCAGTTACACTCTCCCATACAGTGGGTTGCCTTTCCATTTTGATGACTGTATCTTTTGCTGTGCAGAAGCTTTTGAGGTAGATGTAGTCCCATGTATTCATTTTCTCCTTTGTTTCTGTTGCCTTAGGTGATGTATCAGTGAAAATTTTGCTGTGTATGATGTCCAAAATTTTGTTGCCTACAGTTTCTTCTAGGATTTTTATGGATTCATGAATCACATTTAAGTCTTTTATCCATTTTGAGTTTATTCTTGTGTATGGTGTAAGTTGATGGTCTAGTTTCATTTTTTTTTTTGCATGTAGCTGTCCAATTTTCCCAACACTATTTATTAAAGAAGCTGTCTTTACTCACTGTATACTCTTGCCACCTTTGTCAAATATTAATTGAGCATATTGTCTTGGGTCCATTTCTGGGTTTTCTGTTCTGTTCCACTGGTCTAAATGCCTGTTCTTATACCAGTAACAGGCTGTTTTGATTACAGTGGCTTTATGTTATAACCTGAAATCTAATAATGTGATCCCTCCTACTTTGTTTTTTTTTTTTTCAAGATTGATATGGCTATTCGAGGTCTTTTGTGGTTCCATATAAACTTTTGAAGTATTTGTTCAATTTCTGTGAAGTATGTTGTTGGTATTTTGATGAGGATTGCATTAAATCTATAGATTGCTTTGGGTAGATTAACATCATGGCCCTTTTAATGATGTTAATTCTTGTAATCTAAGAACAAGGTATGTGCTTCCACTTTTTAATATCTTCCTCTATTTTTTTTTTTTAATCCTCATTCGAGGACATTTTTCCATTTTTTGTGCAGACAGAGTGGGAGGGAGAGAGAGGAAGAGAGAGAGAGGGAAACATCGATGTGAAAGGGACACATCGAGTGGCTGCCACCCGCACGACCAACCAGGGCCGGGGACAAACTGCAACTGAGGTACATGCCCTTAGTGGGAACCGAACCCGGGCCTCTCCGGACCGCAGGCGGATGCTCTAACCGCTGAGCCAAACTGGCCAGGGCTTCCTCTATTTTTTTTAATAACCTGTAATTTTCTGTGAATAGGTCTTTTATTTCTTTGGTTAAGTTTATTCCTAGGTGCCCTTGAGGACTATATCATGCTGTCTTGAACGGGGCGCCCAGCATAGTGAGCATAATAGCTCTTCAGTATTGAGAACAGAACTGTGTGTGTGCGGACCACTACGTCAAACTCAGTGTGTCTCTAAAGCACTCAGATTTCATCCCTCAAACTCCATAAACTCTGGGCTTTTATTTGGGCAATGACAGTCAAGCAAATGTCACACTCATCTATTCTTCCTTCTCCCTTATTTCTCCTTCCCTGCCGAGGCCTCTCAGTCACTGAGTTCATGAGATTTCTTTACATCTCCACCATCAAAACCTTAAGTTCCTCCTGATTGATTCTGCATTCATACACTAATTATCTCACCTGGACTGCTCTTATTTAGCCCCTTTTTTTAGAAACATAGTTTTTATTTAGTGCATAAACATTTATGCTTATTTATTAGAGAAATTCTATAAAATGAGGATATAATAATGAGTCACTATGGGTTAATTTTTTAAATGTTAAAAATTTAGAACCAATTATTAACATTAAACTATTCTCCCCATTAAAAAAAAAGTTTATTCCTAGGCATCGTAATTTTTTTACTGCAATGTAAATGGGATATTTTTTAGTTTCTTTTTCTGTGAGTTCATCATTGGTGTATAAGAATGCCATCAATTTCTTGACATTAATTTTGTATGCTGCTACTTTGCCAAATTTATTTACTAAGTTTAGTAAATTTTTGATGGAGTCTTTAGGGGTTTCTACGTATAGTATCATGTCATCTGCAAATAATGACAGTTTCACTTTCTCTTTTCCAATTTGGATCCCTTTTATTTTTTCTTTCTGTCTGATTGCTGTGGCTAAGACTTCCAGTACTATGTTAAATAAGAGTGGCGAAAGTGGGCATCCTTGTCTTGTTCCTGTTCTTAAGGGAAATACTTTTAGTTTTTGCCCATAGAGTATGATGTTGGCTGTAGGTCTTTCATATATGGCCTTTATTATGTCGAGATATGATTCCTCTATTCCTACATTGCTGAGTGTTTTTATCAGAAATGGATACTGAATTTTGTTGAAGGCTTTTTTTGGCATCTATTGATATTATCATGTGGTTTTTATTCTTCATTTTGTTTATGTGGTGTATCACATTGATTGATTTGTGAATATTGTACCAGTCTTGCATCCCTGGGATGAATCCCACTTGGTCATGGTGAATAATTTTTCTTTTGATGTATTGCTGGATCCGATTTGCTAGTATTTTGTTTAGGATTTTGGCATCTATGTTCATCAGGGATATTGGCCTGTAGTTTTCTTTCTTTGTAATGTCTTTTGTTCTGGTTTTGGAATTAGAATTATGCTGCCCTCATAAAATGAGTTTGGAAGTCTTTCTTCTTTTTGACTTTTTTGAAATAGTTTGAGGAGAATGGGTGTTAGTTCTTTTCTGAATGTTTGGTAAAACTCCCCCGTGAAGCCATCCAGGCCTGGGCTTTTGTTTGTTGGGAGAGTCTTGATTACCTCTTCAATTTTCTTAGCTGTTATGGCCTGTTCAAATTTTCTATCTCTTTTTGGTCCAGTTTTGGGTGACTGTGTTTTTCTAGAAATTTGTCCATTTCACTTAGATTGTTGAATTTGTTGCCATATAATTGTTCATAGTAGTTGTTAAGGATCTTTTGTATTTCTGTGGTGTCAGTTGTTACTTCTCCTCTTTCATTTCTGATTTTGTGTATTTGGGTTCTCCCTTTTTGTTTCTTGGTGAGTCTAGCTAAGGGTCCATCAATCTTGTTTATCTTTTTCATAAACCAGCTCTTTGTTTCATTGATCCTTTGAATTGTTTTTTTGGTCTCTATGTCATTTATTTCTGCTCTGATCTTTACTATTTCCTTTCTTCTACTTGCTCTGGGGTTTTCTTTTTGTTTGCTTTCTAGTTCTTTAAGTTGTGAGGTTAGATAGTTTATTAGAAATTTTTCTTGTTTCTTGAGGTAGGCTTGTATTGCTATGAACTTCCCTCTCAGAAATGCTTTTGCTGCATCCCATAGATTTTGTGTTGCTGTGTGTTCATTTTCATTGGTTTCCAGGAAGTTTTTAATTTCTTCTTTGATCTCCTCAGTAACCCATTTGTTGTTTAATAACATGCTGTTTAGCCTCCATGTGTTCAAATATCTTTGCATGTTCTTGTTGCAATTGATTTCTAGTTTTATGCCATTGTGATCTGAGAAGATGCTTGATATGATTTCAATCATCTTGAACTTGTAGAGATTTAGTTTGTGTCCTTTTATGTGGCCTATCTTTGAGAATGTCCCATGTGCACTTGAGAAGAATATGTATTCTGTAGTTTTGGGGTGTAATTCGCTGTAGATATCTATTAAATCCATTTGGGCTAGTGCTTCATTTAGAGTCTCTGTTTCCTTGCTGATATTTTGTCTAGAGGATCTATCCAGTGGTGTCAGTGGGGTGTTGAATTTTCCTGTTATGATTATATTGCTATTGATTTATCCTTTGAAATCTTCCAGAAGATTTATATATTTTTTTATAATTTTTTTATTCCAGTGACAGGTGTTTTTAATATATTTAAAAAAAAAATCAACCTCCCTCCAAATAATCCCCAAACAAAAATCTGATTAAATAAAATTTACAATAAATATACCTAGCAAACATCTGTATGTGCAATTAAATACTGTATCTGTTACTGTAGCACGAACCACAAACAAACAATATACAAGTGTTTTGTTGGGGTCGAGGGAGGCCCAAGTTTTAACTCAGTGGGGTTTGGGGCGACAAGATGGGGAAAGTGAGAAGAAAGGGAAATCAATTTCATTTTTCTTAATTCTGTCCATATAAATATATTCATAAAGACCAAAAAAGAAAAGGGAGCGTGGGATGGTAAGGAAATAGAAAAGGGGAGTGTAGGACCCTCCCAATTCTACCTGACCAAAAAATATGAAAGAAATTCATTTCATGGTGTGAGAAGAGATTAAAAAAAAAAAAAGATAGAAGAGGACAGGAAGGAGTGGGCAGCAGAGGGAGGCCAAACAGGGAAAAAGAGGGGACCTATGGCAGGGAAGTAAGAAGGAGTCCAGTGCCAGTGTGTCTGTCTCTGTTTCTATCTTCATCATACTGTTTTAGGCTCCAGTTTAGTATCGGTTGCCTTCCTTTCTCCCTCTGTCCATGGTCTGTCAGGATATCGCAACTCCCTCCACCTTGCCCCCACACCTGCTGTGCAAGTCCCTTTCCCTCCTCTGTTTGTTGGGAGCTGGCTCACTCGAAGATCCTTAGGTCATAGTTCTTTTTGTCCACTCGAAGTTTGAAGTGACTCACGGAGTTGTTGAGGCGAAGGGAGGCATTTTGGGCAGCCAGGGGGCTGGGGAACACAGTCACAATGGTGTACAATGCAGTGAGGTCTGCATAGCGACCGTTCTCAGTAGTCCCACTATTGTCCCACCCACCCCCGCCAGGCAGCCCCTGAGCATCCTTGAGCCACTGGATCTTGGCACCAGACATGGCGAGCTGGGTGAAGAGTTTGTCCACCTCGGTACGAGTGATGCCCTCAGGGAGATCTGTCACCTCCTGCACCTGCCCCAGGACAACATCTGTCGTGCCCAGGTCAGTGGAAGCAGATTTGAGTGCTTGTCTCTTGCTCCGGTTTCCATGCTTCAGTCCATTCTGTCCCCGGTGCACTGCGTAAGTCGACTGGCCATGGAGCAAAGGAGGGCAAATGGACAGATTGTACTGTAATGGCTGGCCCAAGAGGGAGTAGCGCCCATCACCCTGTGCTGGACCCCCAGGCCGGAGGAACTGTGTGAGGATGGGAAGGGGACTGAGTCCTGTGCAGACACTGCTGAGGCTGGTGACAGGAGAGGGTGCTGGAGACTGGGTAGGAGATGTGACAGGGCTGCTACTCATTTATGTGTTGGCCTGGGGGCTACTGTCAGGATTGTACAGGTCTCCAGGTTTCTGACCCTGCTGTTCGATGCTGTAATATTTACAGTGACTCCACTGGACCATGGATGGGTTCTGGGGAGCCTGGGGTCCATTAGGGACATTCAGCTGCATGACCACCACACCTGGTCCAGAAGGTGACACTCCTGAGTACTGCTGTGGCATCTGTTGTGGACTGCAAGGAGAGGGAGACTGAGACATCTGGTACTGCTCAGAGCCAGGAGGTTGTAGAAACCCCACAGAAGGGCTTGTACCGTTCTGCTGAGCCGGAGGGATCATACTGTAGTACACTGGCACACCCCCTGTTGGGAGGCCCCCTTGCACAGATTGGCTCACAGGGACCAGCATGGGTTGCTGGAAAGGTGGCTGGACCACATTTTGTGAGTCATTACCCACTGGGACTTGGTAAGAAGGCAGTGGAGTGTACTGAACCACCAGGCCTTGCATCTGGCCACCCATGCCACTCTGGTTGCTGAGCAAGCCCTGGTTCTGTGGCTGCTGGACCCCAATCATGCCTTGGTAAGCTGCCTGCTGCTGGTTAGGCATCATGGGCTGTAAACCAGACTGCTGGGATGGTTGAGGCAACTGATCACCACGTTGGGGACTGTAGGCCACCGGGTGAGAGACAGGTCGATATTGCTGGTTGGAGTTAGGATACTGTCCAGGGGGATAGTAAGAAACCTGGATCTGTTGAGGGGGCTGCATGTAGCCCTGGGGTGGTGAGATTTGCTGAGTAGGTGGTGCATGGCTAGAGGTGGAATAGTTGGAAGTGGGGAGGGGCTGTCCCGTGGAAGCCATGATGAAGCTAGTCTGTTGAGGGTGCTGGGAGATAAGAGGGGGCTGGAACAGAGCTGTGGATGGATCAGCTGCTTCAGTAGAACCTTGGCGGCTAAGGCTCATCTGTCCAAAGGGGTTGCTGAGGTCATCTGCCTGTGAGATCATGTGATTATTCAAGGGTGGCTGTTATGAGGTGTGGGTGGAAGAGCAGGAAGCTGCTGCTGCTGCTGCTGCTGCTGTTGCTGCTGCTGGGCAGTACAAGGGAGAAGGCCCCGGACAGACTGGGATGAGGTGACCTGGTTGCACACTTCTGGGGCACCTAGTGCCATACCTGGCCTGGAGATCCTTCCTGCACTGCCACCTTTACTGTACCCGATGCTGTCACCCCAGTGAGGATAGAGATTCTGCTGAAACTGCTGGTTTTGGTGACAGGGGGCTACATGCTCCGAACAGAGCCGTCAGAGTTCGTGCTGCTCCAAGGCCGTGGTTCCAAAAATTTGAGTTCACTCTCTGTGCTGCTCTGGTAACTGCTTGAGGTGCAGCTTAGCCCCTCACAGTTCCCTCTGATGTAATTTAGATATCCGTTCTGGCCAGTCTCTCGGGCAAATATTCTCTCTTGGACCCTTTGATATTCCTTCTCTCTCTCTTCTATTGACTTGCTCCTCCTTCCATTCTGCAATGGAACTCTGATCTGGTTATCATCTCGGTCCATACTGGCATCATCTCTCTTGAGAATGAATCTCTGTTGAAATTCCGTATTCTTTTCATCCTTTATATGTTCTGAGAACCTCTGTTCAGAAATTCTTGTGTTACTGGTTTTGTTGATGATGACAGCTTTTCCAGTTTGATCAACATTGTGGTCCATCCCAAAATAGGCAGCTACCCGGTGTAATAGCATCCGGTGATATGAGGTCATCTGAGGGAACTTCTTGAATTGGTTGTTGTTGTCATTAATAAATTCCAGAATCTCCTGTCCTAATTTTAGCAGCATCATTCTGTCCCTTGGGTTCTTTTTCAGTGTATTATTATTATTTTTTTATCCTCACCCGAGGACATTTTTCCATTTTTTGTTCAGATAGAGTGGGAGGGAGAGAGAGGAAGAGAGAGAGAGAAACATCGACATGAAGCGACACATTGAGTGGCTGCCACCCGCACGACCAACCAGGGCTGTGGCTTGGTCTCTCTGTACCGCAGGCCGACGCTCCAACCGCTGAGCCAAACTGGCCAGGGCTTTTTCAGTGTATTTACAAGAAATTCATGTAGGTCAATTCCAGTGGAGTCCATGTATTCTTGGCTGGAGTCTCTAGACAGCATCTTCCTTGGGACCTTTTCTTTGTTTTTTGTCCTTATCTTCCTTTTCAGAGACATCCTTTGTGGACTTTTCTTCCTCTTTGTCAGAGGGGCAGCTGATGTGCAATTGAATTATATCCTTGGTTTCTAGTGGCCCATCAGCAAATGGGGCAGAGGACTCCTCACACACTGCCAGGCTGCGAACCAACTTGAGCTTGGAATTAGACTTGGCTCTTTTCCTGGCATGACCATGGTTGGATGTTCGCCTCTGTGTCTCCTGACGCAAACCACTATCTTCACTCTCTTTCTCAATTTCTTCTTTCTTGGAGTCTTAGATATAAACTTGTTTTTGTTTACAGATTCTTCTACCAGCTTCTTTTCAGATTCTTTCATTATTTCCAGGGTCTCTTGAGTAGTGTTACTGTTAGACATTTTCGTCAGTAGACTACAGTAGCCTCTATGGACTCCTGAATAAATGTTCAGCCTCCATGAGTCCAGTGCTGGAATGGCATCACATAAGAAACAAGTCTGACCCGCCGGGGTCCTTCTGACACTGCTCTAACAGCCCTCCTCTGCACTCCCACCTGACACACCAGGCGCTAATTCAAGGAATTTCTTAACTTCTTGCTTCTTTCTCATGCGGGCAGTGGCGGGGAGAGATCCCCAGTCTCCGCCAGATGCCCAGGCCCACAGCCGCTCAGCTGTGGCTCGGCCCCAATGGCCAGTGGCAGCGCCCCAGAAGATTTTTATATATGTTGGTGCTCCTATGTTGGGTGCATATATATTTATCAAGGTTATATCTTCCTGTTGGATAGATCCTTTCAATATTATGTTGTGGCCTTTGTTGTCTTTAGTTATGGCCTTCATTTTGAAATCTATTTTGTCAGATATGAGTATTGCTACCCCAACTCTTTTTTCCTTTCCTCTTGCTTGGAAGATTTTTTTCCATCCCTTCACTTTCAAACTATGTGAGTCTTTTGTTGTGAGGTGGGTCTCTTGTAAACAACATATATATGAGTCATGCTTTGTTATCCAAGCAGCTACTCTGTGTCTTTTTATCGGAGCATTCAGTCCATTTACATTTAAGGTGATTATTGATATGTACTTATTTATTGCCATTTTTGTTTAATGTGGGTATATTTTTCTTTCTATTTCTTCTGCTAATTACAGCAGTTATTTTAGCATTTCTTGTAGTGCTGGTTTAGTGCTAATGTATTCCCTTAGCCTTTTTTTTTTGTCTGCGAAGCTGTTTATTTGACCTTCTATTTTGAATGATAGCCTTGCTGGGTAGAGTAGTCTTGGATTCAGATCTTTGTTTTTCATGACTTTGATTACCTCATGCCATTTCCTGTTGGCCTGTAGTGTTTCTGTTGAGAAATCAGCTGAGAGCCTTATGGTGGTTCCTTTGTAGGTAATCTGTTGCTTCTCTCTTGCTTCTTTTAGGCTTCTCTCATTGTCTTTAATTTTTAGTTTTTTGATTACTATGTGTCTTGGTGTGGGCCTGTTTGGGTTCTTCTTACTTGGGGCTCTCTGTGCTTTCTGAACTTGAATACCTTTTTCCTTTACCAAATTAGGGAAATTTTCTGTCACTATTTCTTCAAATATATTCTCTCACCCTTGCTCATTTTCTTTTTCTTTGGGGACTCCTGTGATGTGAATATTATTACGTTTCCAGTTGTTCCACAGTTCTTTTAAGCTGTCTTCCTGTTTTTTAATAGTTTTTTTCCTTTTGGTTTTCTGATTGGTTGATTTTTTCTACCCTGTCTTCTAATTCACTGATTCAGTTTTCTGCTTCCTCTACTCTGCTGTTTAGACCTTCCAGTGTGTTCTTTATTTCTGATATGTCATTTTTCATTTCTTTTTGGTGGTTTTTAATTTCCAACTAGTTGATTTTCAACTTTTCTATGTCTTTAGTCATGGTGCTCATGTCCTTACACATGCTGTTGAGCTTCCTCAAGATCATGGCTCTGAATTCTAGTTCTGTTAACTTGTTTAACTGCACCTCAGTTATCTCATCTTCGGTAGAGGTCTCTTGTTCTTTCATTTGGCATTTGTTTCTTTGTTTCACCATTTTGGCTATCTCAGTGGGTTTTGAAGCCTGCCAAATTTTCTCTGTGGGTGTTGGTGTTCTGCTGTTTGTGGCACCTTCTAATGGGTTTGGATAAGCATGAGAGGAACCACGTTAAACACCACTGTCAAGTCTTACTTTCCTGGGCAGAGTTTCAAGCCCAGGAATGGTTCAGTTATTCTCTAGTCTTTTGCTTGGAGACTATTGGTCACAGTTGCTTGAAGAGCCTTTGTATCTCAGTTGAATGAAAAACTCCCTCAGGTGTTCAGAATAAGGGAATTTCCCAAGGGTGGGGCAGATGCTTGTTGTTAATGGGCCTCAGTTTGCATTTCAGTTTTCACCGGATGGGGTTAAATCTCTGAAGGAGGGGCTGCTGCCTCTCCGCAGAGCACTAGGAAGGAGTAAGATGACCACTGTTCTGCGTGGTCACAACTCAGCAAAAGCTCTGTGCACCCTCCAAATCCCGAGTGTCCCCACACAGTTCCAGTCCAGTCCACCCTCCCTCTGTCAGAGCCCAAGGTGAGTGGCTGTGGCTATTTCAGCATTTGTTCCAGCTCTGCGCTGTGGAACCATTTGGGAATGCACCCCTGAAGGCACTGCTCACAGCTAAGGCCGCTGCTGTCTGTGGGATCCCAGCACCCCTCTTTCACCTCCACTATGCCACCAGGATTGAGTCAGTGTTCCTGGTTATATGGTTCTCCAAGCTGCTTTTCTGTTGCCTTTTCCTGACGATTTGTCTTTTTTTTCATTGTAATTTCAGTTTGTTCCTGGGAGATGGTCTGTGTAGCTTCCATTTACTCCGCCGCCATTTTGGAATTCTCCCAAAGAGAAAATCTTAAAAGCAGCAAGAGAAAAGTAGTTCATTACCTACAAAGGAACTCCCATAAGACTGTCAGCTAATTTATCAAAAGAAACTTTGCAGACCAGAAAAGAGTGGCAAGAGATATGCAAGGTGATGAAAAGCAAAGACCTACAACCAAGATTACTTTATCCTGCAAAGCTATCATTTAGAATTGATGGCCATAAAAAAGTTTCTCAGACAAGAAAATGGTAAAGAAGTTGATCACCACCAAACCAGTATTATATGAAATGTTGAAGGGTCTTCTTGAAGAAGAACAAAAATATGAACATTAAAATGGCAATTAATACATATCTATCAACAATTAAATCTATAAACAAAATGGACAATCAGAGCAGAAACAGACTCATAGATACAGAGAACTTTTGTTGCTTGCCAGATGGGTGGAGGCTGGGGGGATCAGTGAAAAAGATGAAGGAATTAAAAAGTACAAATTTGTTGTTAGACTGATGAACCTCAAAGGGAAGAGGGGATGGAGGGCAGGATGAAATAAACCAAAGAACTTCTATGCATATATGCATAACCAATGAACACTGACAATAGTGTGAGGAAGGCAGGAGGGGGGCAGGATTGGAGAGGAGGGAGTCAATGGGGAAAAATGGGGGGACATCTGTAATGCATACAACATTAAAGGTGAGTTTTAAAAAAAATGAGAGGAGACAAACAGTGTCTTGGCATCACCATAGAAACTGGCTGGCTTTGCTTTAAAAGGGCCTCGGGATCTGGCTCCCATAATCCCACATGACCCTCCCTGTGACTTCTATCTGAGCCCCCCGTCCAAGCTTGGCTTCCTGCACAGTGCACTTTGGGACTTTTGCTATATTGTTACAGATATTCTTTGCTATTTCTAGCTGATCAACATGCTGCCTTTAACTGCTCTGAGTGAGGACATAAAACACCTATTTGGCTGTGTCGGTCTTCTCACAGCTCTAGACCCCCTAGTACCCCTGCCTGACTGAACTCTCCAGGTTTTTGTGCACATACTCACCTGCTCAAGCCCCTGTCTTTATTGTGTCCAGCCCCCTCTGCCCAAATCTTCATTTCCTGGAAGATCACCCTTGTAGAGTCCTGTGTTGAGGTCAAGCTCATTGGCTTGGATTTCCATTTTAAAAATGTTATCTTGTTATTTTTTAACTGCAAATGGGATGTGAATCCATTGAGTACAGCCTAGTGGCATAGAAGCATATAGGGTGAAAGGGCTGTGGACTCTTTCCCACCCTCCACCATTGTCTGTGTACCTCTAGACACATATGTATTCATACCTTTGTGTCCATGTACACACTGGTTTGTGCTGCTCTTTTCCAGGCTAAATCAGATTGTGCCCTTGGTGTCCTGCAGTTTACATCTCCACACTGGGTACTGGTGTCAGCTGATTTTATGTGTCACCTTTACTGAGCTATGGGAGTTCAAATGTTTGGTCCTTCATGAATCTGGGCGTGTCTGTGAGGGTGTTTCTTGGTGGAGTTAGCATTGAATTGTTGGACTGTGTGAAGCAGATGGCTCTCCCCAGGGTGGGTGGGCTTGTCAAACAGGGGAGAAAGAAGGAACTGCTCCTCTTGACTGCTTGAGCTGGAAAACTGGTCATCTTCTGTCCTTGGATTTGAATCCTGGATATGGTCCTCCAATTTGCTGAGCAGATTCACATATTTGTGCCTCCTGTTGATTCTATTTCTCTAGAGAATCCTAGTATTGGTGTCTTCCCACATCAGTGGTGAGGACCTGCTGCATTCTTTCTGTGACTGTGCCCTGCCTTTGGCAGGTGTGTCCTGCAGTTTATTTGATTCTTTCCCTGGTGATTGAGTTTGTTGACAGTTTTATGTCTCCATCTGCTACCTTGAACATCCTTGTATCTGTATGTTTATGCACATGGGGCAGGATCATTTTCAAGGTTTGTTTTTGGTGTTGTTTGTTGGGCAGCCATTCTAAATTTTAATGTAGTCAAATAAATTTTTTTTTTTTTAGGTTGACTGCTGTTTTGTGTCTTAAGAAATCCTGGATGTTAACTAAACTTACTGTGGTAATAATTTTGTAATGTCTACGTATGTTGAATAATTATGTTGTATACCTAAAACTAATATAGTGTTATATATCAATTATATCTCAATAAAAAAGTAATTCTTGCATAAAATCTTCTCAATTTTTGAAAAACATTGTTTAGATATTTTAGTTAGGTTTTTTATAAAACATCTTTATTGTTTTTGTTTTTTTTTGAAAATTTATTTATTTATTTATTTTTTTGGTTACAGATATTTTAAAAACATCTTTATTGTTGAATGCATTACAGATGTTCCTCATTTTTCCCCCATTGACCCCCTCCTCCCCACTCCCGCCCTGCTCCTGCCTTTCCCCACACTTTTGTCTGTGTGCATTGGTTATGCATATATGCATATAAATTCTTTGGTTTATTTCTTCCCACCCCCCAACCCCCCTTCCCTTTGAGGTTTGTCAGTGTAGCAACCAATTTGTACTTCTTTTTTTTTTTTTTTGGTACGTGCCCCTAGTGGTAACTGGGACTCTCTGGTCTGCAGGCTGATGCTCCAACCGCTGAGCCAGGGCCCAATTTGTACTTATTTTTTTTTATCCTTACCCGAGGACAC